AAATGTAAGTAACAGCTTCAGGCCCTTAATGAGGCTATAAATATGGGACAAAAATAATTTAGAAATCTCTTTCCTGGTGAAGAGCTGTCCTTTCTCCAGACTTCTTCTCTTTCTCTTTGCTTGCCCCATCAGTACGGCCATTGGTTCTCTTTGCAAACTCATTTTAGGAAGGAAACAAAGCATCGATCATCTCGTAGGGTTGCTCTTTTGCATTTCCCGCGAAGAGCAAACAAGGACCGTGTGATGTGCAGATGCTGGGCGGACAGCTAGGCTCACTCACTGCTCGGGTGACTTGCTCCATCCATCAGTTGTTCCTGCAGCAAAATTACAAAATTACACTTCATCTCCCTTCAGGGTCAGTATAGATGGGATACATTTTACGTGTAAATATGGAATCCATGCCAATGTGAAATCTGTGAATGCCAGGGGTTAGCCGTCCTGGTTCAACCTCTGAGGCATTTTATACCTTCTCACCAATTTCCCTGGCCTGTACCTTCCTGGAACAGACGGGCAGACAGAGTTCGGAGCTACTGGACTATTCTCCCGGGGCAGAGCTGCGTGTAGCATTAGAGCGAGAAACCCGGCCCTGTGTAGGTACTTGGAGCCAGAGGCATAGCCTCCCTCTGGGCTCAGACGGCTCCCTTCTGATGACAGCCCATAGCAGAGCTCCGTGGGAAGCACTTTGTCTGATGAGAGCTGAATGGCTCTGGTCTGTGCTTGGGACAGATGTCTCTGGTTCCCTCCGACACTGATGCCACCACGTGGAGCAGCGTGGCGTCCTGGGGACCTGCGGGGATTTTCCAGCATGTTTGCAAACAAATCACGGCAGACCAGCTCCCTTGGTGCTTTGCGTGTCGCCAGGACACGGACCATCCATGCCTGTCAAAGAGGGGAGTCAACAGAGGAAAACAGAGGCTGGTTTCCAGTGGCCCCGTAGCATTAGGGCTCTTGGCACTGGGCAGTGGGAAGAGGTGTGTTCATTCTCCGGGGAGGTTTCAGGGAAGCTGTATCTGAGAGCTGACAAACAGCATGCGGGGCGGTCCGTGTGTATGTTTGTGTCTTGCTTTGTTGTTCCTTGAGCCCGCAGACCGGATTGCCAGGGAACAGGATACAAATGAAGGCAACTGGACCGAAATCAGCAAGCAGGGCCTGTCGATAGCTTGCAGATGTCAGTTCTGCTCTGCGTCATGACCGGGAGCGTCCCAGCTGGGGGCGGAGGTGAGGGATCAGCAGAGGGAGAGCACAGCATGTGGATGTGGAGGCCCCTGGCAGGTAGAATAGATGTCCCATTTCTCAGCTGGAAAAGTCGCCATCGAGAACAGCACACGTTCCAGAAGGGGAGTTTGGGTGGATGCAGCAGCTGTCTTAAGATTTTGTAGTTGCTCCAGTCTTGGCCCCCTCATTGAATAGAAATTTGTGGGTGCCAGAAGATTTGGAAGAAGCTGCTGCAGCAGGCTGTTTGCCGTTGCCCGCTGGGGGAGGACTTGGAATTTTTTCTCGTTCTTGGTGCAGATGGTGTAGTTATTTTAAGGAAGTGATGTGCTGCAGTGAAAATGGGCAACTCTTTCATTTTTCAGGTTAATGAAAAAAAGAAAAGGGACAAGGAGAAACCCCCAGCTAGCCAACTGCGTGCTAATGCTTGTCTTTTTCGGATGCTGAATGTGTCCCACGACACTGAGATGGGATAAATATTTCAGCCACTAGAAAGCCCCACTGTCGGGCTGAAAAGATTTCTTACCTCTCTTAAAGCAGACGGGGTAGTAATTTACGCGCACACGTCCAGACACCCCCACGTCCCTTATTTTTAACTACGTATGTCCAGAGCCCACTTCCTTTCTTGGGGCTGAGGCAGGGAGTGGATGGAACTTGGTGAGGAAGAGCGTGAGGGGTGGGAATGAATCATGACCGAACGCTTGGTTTCCTTCTGAGGGCAGCAGACACCTGCTGGGGACTTAAGGGGCCAAGGTTGTGCTGAATGAAAGGGTGTCCCTTTCCGGAGCGTGCGGCCTGGTGGGGAGGAGTATAGACGCGGCACTAAGCACAGATTGGCTAAAGGACAACACAGGACACTGTCAGAGTGAAAAACTGGGGGGGGACCCACATTAGGGTGTCGATGACGAGGTCTCGGCTGTAAGTGACAGAGAGCCGAGGGCTGAAGGACGAGCCAGATCAGCCAGATGCGTGAGTTTGCTCCGGCCGCCACAGTAGAGAACCACAGAGGGGCTGGCATAAACCCCACATACCTATTTCTGCACAGGTCTGAGCCCAAGATTGGGGTGGGGCCAGTTTCTTCTGGGCTTCTCCTTGGCTTACAGATGGCCGTCTTCTCCCTGCCTCCTCCTGTGGTCTCCATGTGCGCATCTGTGTCTCCCTCTTCTTGTAAGAACACCAGTCATAACGGATCAGGGCCTGTCCTCATGACCTCATTTTACCTTAATCACCTCCTTAAAGACCCTGTCCGCAGGTGCAGTCGCGTCCTGAGGTGCTAGGGGACAGGACTTCCTCATATCGAGTGGGGGCAGGTGAAAGGCAGCCGGAGGGATCGGGGTCGGCAGGTAGCAGTGTGGGGAGTCCTCTGTGCAGGGAGGACAGTCCTGTCCGAGGAGCTGAGGTTGCAGAGGTGGGTGGGGCAGGTCATGGACACCCTGGCACGAGTCTTGGGTTTAGCAATCAGGGCACTGAGGAGCCATCGGCAGCAACTCAGAATCTCGCTGGGCTGGAATGTGCAGGAGGGCATGAGAAGAGGGAGTCAGAGGTTGGTTTTCTCAGACTTAACGCATTTCTGGGCTTCGGCACTAGAGACGTTTCAGGTCGGGTGATTCTGTGTTGTGAGGGGCAGCTTTGGGCATCATCGGTGTGCTGCGTGCCTGGCCTCGACTCAGGAGCTGCCACATGGTCAGCAGTGTCTCCAGACACCGCCACGTGGCCCCCGGAGTCGGAGAGGCTGGGGGAGTGGCGCAGAACTGTCCCCCGTCGACAACCACCAGTTTAAAGGGGACGAGAAGACACAGAGGTTGGGATGGCTTGGCGCCTGTCGAATAAAAAGCACATTGGATGAGTTTAAGGAAGATTGTGAATTCAGAGCCAACAGGATTTAACGTCTCTTGACCTCCGTTTCTCCTCATGCTTGTGAGTTCAGTGATGTGGTCCCTTCCCTGGAGCACAAGGCCCCATGCCCTGGGCATGCGTAGCCGAGTTGCTTAGAAGCGCTCAGAATGTGCTCTGTGTTGGCCTTCGCCAACCGCCCTCCCCCCGCTAGGGGACCCCTGGTCCTGCCCCTACACCCCCTCAAGCCCATGGCTGGCAGGACCACCTGTGTGTCACCGGTGGATAGTCCGTGCCTGCTGCATGCCTTCTGATTTGTCAAGTCCGTGTCCCGCCCGCCCGTGGGCTCTCGGAGCAAGTGTTTTGGAATCTAATCCATCCATTTTTCTGGCTCTGGAAATCTGTTTATCAGAGCAAGATGTCACGGTTGCAGTGACTTTTCCAGGGGGCTTGCCTTCGAGAAGCCAGCTCTACAAGGCAAGCGAAAGTGATTTCTAAACCCAACAGAGTGACAGGTACATTCTGGAGCCCCAGAGTGTTCCCTGGGAGCTTGCTGCTGAAGGCTACAGTGGCTGTTAGGAAACAGCTGGAATGGGTGGGCGCTCTGGGTGGTGTTCCCTGTGTCTGGCTGGGACCCAGCCCCTGGCCGTGTCTCCAGGCTTCTCTCCTACTGTTGCCCCTCCTGGGATTGCTCTCGCCTGAAGGTTGTGAGTTGGTTTCCTGCTTTTGTCAGGGTTGGCTGTGGGTTTTGGAGTCAGTCCTGAGCGGGAGTCCGATGTTGAGTGTGGGCTCAGGGGACGGGCAGAGTGCCGTGATTCATCACGTCTGCTCCAGTGGTGGAGTGGGGGGAAATGGCGACACAGTAGGTTTGCAGTGTCCAACAGTCAGAGCTGGGAGGTTTTTATTGTGTCCCCATCAGTGCCCTGGGCTGAGCCTTCCTCCTACCCTCTTTTTTTGGGCCCCAAGGGCCCTGTGTTTCATCTCTCTATCAACCTCCACTGCAAATACCTCTTCTTTTCTGGAACCTTTCCTTAACGCCTTGAGTTTTTACTTTATCTTAAGAACATGGTGGAGCCATTCAGTGGCTTTTCAAAGTGAGGAAGTGTCATGATTGATTTGCTCTTTAGAAAGGTCCCGCTGGCTACAGAGGAGGATGTGGTGCTGGGGGGAGTGGGAAGGCCACGCTGGGAGACTGTGGTGGTATGCTGGGAGGGGATGGAGGTCATTGGGCTGGAGGCAAGCCTGTGGCACTGTGACGGGCATGCAGGGCTTGGTGGGGGGCTGGCCCACTGTAGGGGGAGGTGGAGTGAGGGGAGGGGCCAGGGAGATGTTCAGGCTTCCAATGTGGGTAGGGTGAGGCCCTCCCCTCACTTAGAGCTGTTGTTCTAGAATTCACCAGTGAACTACTAAGGCTTATTTTCGCTAGAGAGATGTGCAGGTAGATACTAATTCAGCGCAGTGGGGTGGGGTGGGGTGGTCTACGGGGAGTCTCCGTGGCTGACGTGGGGTGGGTGGTCTATGGGGAGTCTCCTTGGCTGATGTGGCCCTGCTTGCTTATGACTGTGTCCATTCCAGTTTGTTGTTACCTACTTGTTCCTTTAGTGTCGCCTCAGTAGTACTCAAGCTGCAGCACAGAGTAAGGGCTCATTTCTGCTTGGAGAAGTCGGGGAACAGTTCATAGAGGGACAGACATTGTATATGAAAGCGTACGTAAGGGGTTATTAGGAGACTCCCAGATAAAAATAAGCCATGTAAAGGCTAGTGGCATGAAACAGAGGTCATGTCAGAGATCTGGCATGAGATGCTTCCCTTTGGTAAAGCCTGTGAAGGAGGATCATGGGCCCTGCTCTGCCCGCCCCCCCCCCCCCCCCCTCCCACGCAGATCTGGGCACCCTCTCTCTCTGCACCTGGCAGTAAGATCATTCGATCATTAGCATACCCTCATGCCTTCCCAGCATTGAAGTGGGGAGCCCCAGTGTTCAACTCTGCATGGTTAGGACCTGCACAGGTGTCTGGTCATGAGTGTTCGGTAAATGCTTATTGAAGATTCAGGAGGGACCCGGGGACGTCCAGGTCTTTTTTCCTCTCCTTTCCCCTAAGACAATTTCACTTCCAGATGGTTCCTTACCTCCTGGCCATGGATGGCCCTGGCTCAGACCCATGAGATTCATCAGATTCTGGCTTCCTTGAAAATCTGCCCTGGGGTCCTTTGGTGGATGAATTCAGCACCCCACCCTATAACCTTGGCTGTCCCTGTTTGCTTAACAGCCTAAGACTTGACCCTTTCTGGTCAGGGCTGTGGCAGTTGATAGCTGTGCTCAGTGGACTGGGATTGAAATATTGGGGCTTGGTTCTTGGAACTCTTGGCAAATAGTCCAGTGACCTCGGTGCCCCCCATGGGGGTTAGAAGGCCTGAGTTCAGGTTTCAGTTTGGCCTTTCCTCCCCATGTGACCTCATGGTGGGTTGGTGGGCTGAAGGGCAATGGTCTCCCGGTATTATTGCTGAATGGCCCAGGTTCAGATACTCAGTGGTTCGAGGGCCCTAGAGTCCGAGGCGGGGTAGGATCCCGCATTTCCCGCTGTTGGAGGCAGTGGGAGCCCAGTGCTCACTCGTGACTTGGAGCCTTTGTTTTTAGCCACAGCTGATGGCCGGGAAGAATGTTTGGGTTTATGACCGAGCTTTTCAGCAGTAAGTCAGTGAGTACCTACTGTGTGCTGAGCACCCACTCCAGGCGTTCCCCGTATTTTCCCATTTAGTTCTCAGTCTCCAGGGTGGGGTGGGGCGGATTATCAGTCCATTGTGCAGATGAGCACACTGAGGCCCAGGGAAGTCAGGTCAGGTTGCCCACCGGAAGTCTCACGTACGAGACCCCCTTTGAACAAGGGTCTGTTCCGTGGTGGGGACGCAGCTCCATGCCCCCTCTGCCCATCTGATCTCCCGTCCCCTCTTTCCTGCAGAGAGCCAGCTGCTCCCTGGGAACAACTTCACCAACGAGTGCAACATTCCGGGCAACTTCATGTGCGGCAATGGGCGGTGCATCCCCGGGGCCTGGCAGTGTGATGGGCTGCCCGACTGCTTCGACAAGAGTGACGAGAAGGAGTGCCGTGAGTGGCCTACCCTTTGCAGGGTGGGGGTGGGGACAGTCCAGGGGCTGCGGGGACAAGGGCCTAATCTGGCTCAGACCCTGCCCACCTCACATGCTGCAGGCAGCTAGGTTTGGGCCTCTGGCCAGCAGCCAGCCCTCTCCACTCTGTAGCTCTGCCTGGGAGCAGCACAGTGGGTGCGGAGCCTGGAGTCCCGGAGGGGACGGAGCCGCGGCTGTGGAACAGCAGAGGACCCCTCCACTGGGCTCTTCTCACCCCACCCTGGGGCGCTGTCTTTGCTTTTGCTTTGCACATGAGGACCCCAAGACTCCCAGAGGTGAGGTAGCTTTAGCGTCTCCCGACTGGTAAGGAGCAGAGCTGGATTTGAACTCAGGGCTGCCTGACCCCAAGGCCCGGGCTGGTAACCATCTTTCACGTCCTGTGAGATGTTCTTTCTGGGTAAGTCAGGGGTGGCATCTGGCCAAGTGGCCTGCACGGAGCTGGTAGCCAGGAGGCAGTAATTTGCCACTACTTGGCCTTTTCCCTGCTGATGTGGGGAATCCTCTTCAGACGGGCACCCCCAGGAGCTGGGGGTTCTTTCTTATCCTCCCCACCCTGCCTCCTTCTTCAGTGTCTTTTCCATTCCGAGCCCTCGAAATATGCACGAGATTGGAGTCTGCTGTGACCTGCAAGAAAGGAGGCGCTGGATGGGAGTGAGGGCGTCTGGGGTGTCGGGTGATCACACTCCCCGCCCTGGAGAGCGGAATTCTTTCTTGCTCCAAAGCTCGGTGCTGCGCAGTAAGCTCGGCCCTGGCACCCTGGTAGGCGCGAGTGACACCTGAGGAGTGCTGGGACCCAGGGTTCCCTCGTGGGTCACTGCCTCGGGACCACACAGCTGGACGCTGGCTCCTGGCTCGTCCGTGGGCTTCAGGCACCAGGCCACAGGGCCTCACTGACAGGAGAACTGTGTGTTCTGGCTCCGAATCCGGTCTCTTTCTGGAAGCCAGCTGAGGAAATGGCTGAGGAGATGATAATTTGAACTTTCACGTAGCTGTTCCTGGGATTTGAGGCCCAGTCTGTTGACGCACGGGAAGGGAAACTGGGCCAGAGCCCACCTCCGGAGCTAGCCGTCCAACCCTCATGATGCGCTCCCTTGGGCAGGTTGCCCGTTCAGAGACTGGCCCCGTGTCCATCTCGGGGTCCAGTATCCCTGCTTGTCTGCCCACCACTCTTCAGAGAAGGTTTGCGAGCCGGTGGATTAGGAATATTTTTGTGTGGTGGGAGGCAGCATTCATTTTATTGCTTGTGACTTTTCCCCAAACAGACCAGTATACATAATGCATTTTTACTTGTGCAGAATTTTTAAAAAAGTATTAATGTCTGTTTCAGCTTTCTCTGTGTCCAGGTCTCCAAAGTTGCTAGCAACGTGACGCTTGTAATTTTGAGTTACACACAAGATCGTGTGCGTGAACTCTGCAGTCCGTCCAGTTTTGAGCATTATTAAACACTCCACAAAGATGTGGAATGAGCATTTTTGGAATAGGGTCTGTGAGCTCTAGCAAATGCTGATTTTCTGTAGCGGAGCCGGAACATTGAGCACAGGGTCCATTTGTGAAAGCATGCAGGGTTCAGACCTGCGACTCGAGTGTTATTCCCAGCTCTGTCAATAGCAGCTGTGTGGTTAGGGTACTGTGAGACATTCTGTGTCTTTGTCAGTCCAGTTCCATGATTTCGGAATTCATGCACAAACTGGAAAAGGTGATGGAAAGAGAATATTTCAAAAAAAAAAAAAAGATGGGACAGGCAGTGGCCTGGCACTGTTCGATTTGGTTTGGAACACGCTTGCCTTGGCTGTTCTCAGTCTTTTTTTCCTCCTCATTTCCTACCCTTAACCCCCAGGCGTAATAAAGACTTGACTGGCACTTATTTAATGTTTTGATTAAAACATAATTTTAAAAAACCGTACACACAAACACACGCATTAAAGAACCCCTTCTCTCTTGCCTTTCTTTTTTTCCTTTTGTCTTTAAATCATAAGAACAGAACATTAAAAGGTTTAGGTAAGGGAGGGAAGGAGGAGGTCACTTTTCTAAAACAAATTCTACTTGCCTTTTGAATTGAATTTCTTACATATTTCTTCCCAGTCCAGGGGTTGAGGGATGAACCCTGGGGACAGACTGTCCAAATCTCCTCAGTCCCTCCCACCCCTCTGCCCAGATCACATGCTTGGTGATCTTAAGGAAGTTACCAGGATGTTCTAGACCTTTGCCCTGGGGAGGACTAAACGAGGATGCCTTAGCCTCCTGATGTCTCTCAGTGTCCTCCTCTCCAAAATGAGAATAACAGGGCTCTGGTAATCCTTTCTGTGAAGGTTAAATGCACGTTGAGCACACAGCCCCGTGGCTGGGTATCGTAGCGGCGTGTAAACGTTAGCGTTACTAGTCAGTCTGTACAAACTGTAGACGCAGGTGTCGTCATGACGACATGTGATGGAGTAACCTGCCTTTTTCTACTTCCCGTTGGAGGCCCTCTGGCAGATGGCCATATGTAGCCTTCACGATTGTTGTTTTGTGAGGTCGCCTACTGTGCTGTCACATTGGTGTGGTGTACCCTAACCATTGCCCTGTGGTGGGTATTTAAACATTTGGGGTCCGTGAGGGAGCTTACACGATGGTTTTCACCCAAGCCAGGCTGGGTCTCGCTGAGGTCTTCAGGGTCTCAGCTGCACCATCTTTTCGAGGTCCCTTTGAGAGCAGCTGCCGTAGAATTCAAATGCCACCTCGTTGTCCTTTCTTCGATTCTTCGGAACAGTGTGGTCCTTACACGGAGGAGAGTGAAGGTGGCTGATTTCCTCGCCACAGAGAGGCGATTGCCTCATGTATCCTATGGAATAACTTCGGCATTTTGAAGATAGCACACTTAAAAAAGGAGAATTCTTGCCCTTTCCAAAGGGTGAGGGAAGAGCCTGGAGAGCTGTGTTGTGGTGGGATATGAGGCGGTGAGAAGCTATTCTGTGCCCACAGCGGAGGAAGGATTTTTGTGAGACAGGAAGAAACTTTTCTTTTATGATGAACATAATAAAAATCACATACTGTGAAAGTTGGGGGAACGGGGAGGAGAAAACAGCAGCATCGTGCCTATAGTCTGAACTCTAATGGAACCACTGTCAGCATTTTAGAAGTTTTTATTCAGGGCTCTTCCCAGCTATAATCACTGTGGGTATGCAGTGTTATATTTTGATCTTTTCCCCTGGCAACATTTTGACCTTTTAACATTTTAATGTATTTTTTCATATTTCTCTATCAGTTTTCATGCTTAGAAAAATAGTCCATTCATGTGGTATCGTATAGCGTACTGACTCTACATAAAGATTTGGCATTTATGTTGTTTCCAGCTTTCCGCGGTTAGAAATAGCGTTCAATGTTGTGAATGTGAGGGTAGACATGACTTCCCCCGTTTTGAGAGATTTTCTGAGGCTAGGTTCTCAGAAGTGAAATTACTGGGTCAAAGGACAGGAGCCTTTTTTGGTTCTTGAAACCAGTGCCTGTTTGTTTTGCTAATGGTTCGTACCCATGTGTGCTCCCTCACTGGCAACGTGTGAGAATTCTGGTTTTATTTTCGTCTTGGCAGCTTTGGATAATACCTCTAAAAAATATTTTTTCTGGCTAATTTAATAGAAAAGTTATACATTTTAATTTTTTTATTATCTAAAGAAGTTGAATGTTTTCCTATAGCCCTATTTACTAGTCATGTTTCTGACTTTGTGTATTATCTATTAATGGACTAGAATAAATTTCCACTCGGGTTGTGTCATTAAATTTTCCTCCTTGTGAATCTGAAGAACCTCCTCCTTAGGGTTTTAAGAGGCTTGTTAGTTTGAGGGAATTTCTGCTTTTGGTTGATAAAATGATCATTTTATCTAAACTTTTTTTTTTTTTTTTTTTAGTAGTGAAAGGAATAGAGACAGTTTAGAAAAATGTGGAAGCCTCACGAAATGAGATATTTTGAGAGCTTCTTCTGGGTTGCCCTGTCCCTGGCACTTTGTGCTGTATTAGCTCATTTGATTGTCACAAGCCTTATGAGGAAAGGACTGTTGTTATTTCTGGATGAGGGACCTGAGCCACAAAGAGATTGCTAGAGCTGGCCTGTTGTCCCAGAGATTAAGTGCCCATCACCTGTGTCCATCAGAGACCACAGGCTTTCTCTACCTGGATCTCTGTGCTGAATCAGATTCCTCTCCTGCTAACCTGCTTTTGAAAAAAACGTTGAGAAACGTTGATGATGTTCTTCTCTGTAAATGATTTCTGAAATGGCCGTTAGTGCTGTGAGTCTCTGTAAGAAGAGACGGTAGTGTCATTACTGAGGCGCTGTCCTAATAAAGCAGCCGTCCAGATTTCCAAAACTCACACGTGACCCGCAGTCACGAGCCTTAAGATCTCCTTCCATCGTGGTGTCGGATTTTAGCTGCCATCTCTCTGTGTCCTGACCACATGGGGGAGAGGTCTTGGAGGTTTGAGTTCTGTGTCACAAACTGGTCTTATCTGAAAAAGGAAATTGATTGGTGTCTTTGATCAGGCATGCGTAGACTTTCAAATCTCAGGCTGAGTATGTGTGCACGCATACGTGCGCGTGTGCACGGGTTGGTGGGGGTGGAGAGGAGATGGGGATGAATTCAAGGATCTTGTCAAATGGGAAGATTTTAATGGCTCTCCAAGTCCAGAGACAGAAAAGTACAAAAATGGAACTTGAATTTTCCTTGCTTTTACTGTTAACAACCATTCCGTGAGCATGACTTTTCATTGCTCTGGTGTGATGGTTGAAATCCATGAGAGGCTTCAGAGGGCAAGTTTGGAATAAAGAACACACAAGAAATATAAAGGGGGAGGACATTAGAGGGGGGTGGGCAGAAAGTCTTCCTTTCCTTTTTTATCGTCGTTCTCACCTTCTGCCTCTAGGTGGTGCCACATGTAATGTTTTTTTGTAAGCTGGGTGCTACAGGGCAGGCAGAGATGAGGGAACAA